AATTGAGAAAGCTCCTCGGATGAGGAGCGAAACGTCTTCTGTTACAAATAAAGTCCAGTTGTTTTTGTATTGAACGCTTTTTGAATTCATCATGTCCTGGATGACTGAGAATCTTCACCAGCAAGCATTGTGGTTGTTTCTGTGTTCCTACCGATTACTTTTGAATTCATCAGTTTTCACATAACATATTGAATTAATCAAGATATGTTTTGGAATGTCTTTCTTTGTTTCTGTCCAACAGGAATAATCCAGCTCCATACAAAAACCTTCGCCAGCACTGCCAAGATAGATATTATTAAACCTCAACGTCTACAAAATGCTGATGCTGTTTTTCCCCAAATCATGCAAGCACATGGTGAGAACTTGCCCACAGAAGTATCTTATTTCAGCAAAACACTCTTTTTTTTCTCTGCTATCACAGTACATTAGCATAAATTTACAGGTTACACTAAAACTCTGGCTGGTTAAATGAAGACACGCCATTCTCACCTTTGCTTTATGTGAATCTTTTTGAACATTTGTTTCCCTCTTTAAACAAAGTATTTTAATCTCAAACAACCAATGTTTTTTTCCAAATATGGTAGAATCAGTATATTTAAATTTTCCAATAATTAAACTGTATTGAAGAGTATACACTTTTATTTTTATTTTTATGTGTTTAATTTTATTTGGTCAGTCACACATGTGGTTAAAGTCTCACCAGCCACAGAGATACTATTTACTAATCTAGTTTTAGATTCACATCCGTTTAGGTTCCAAACAAGGATGGAATGATTCACACAATCCGTGGTTTAGTTAGGTGTTCTGGGTCATGTTTCAGGTCAGTGATTTTTTATTTAATTTTTTTTTCTTAGTTTTGTAGGATAAAAACTCCAAAAATATCATACATAATAATAAACAGTTTATCATTTACAGATTATAAATTATCAGATGTGCAAAAACTGCTGGAATAAAGCAGTTCGGCATTTAGCACACTGGTGTGACAATATTTGATTAAAGCTTGGTGGGATTTTTCTACAAAGGAAAATATTAATGTTTTCAAAATGCGTTTTATTAATTTGGCAAAGATTCAAAACAGACTGCCTTAGACATTTGCTGAAAAACAGTTATTCACGGTCAAATATTAACCGAATCAGTTCACTTGACACTAAAAGACAACTGATTTATTCACTCCTGCTGCCATCTTTAAGGACTTTTGTAAGTGTGCAGCACAAAAAGTTTTAACATATTTAAATTTATATTTATTTTATTTTATCCTTTGAGATCACAGATCTCTTTTTCAAGGCAGACCTGAGCCTGAAGGCAGCTTAAATATGCATGTGTTTTGACTGTGGGAGAAAATACCACAAGAGAACATGAAGAGAAAAGACAATCTCAATGCACAAAGACCCCCAGACCCAACCCAGGGATTGAACCCAGGGCATTCTTACTGTGAGACAACAGTGACGGCAACTAAATCTCAAAATGAGAAGCTAAATTTATGAAATTATTAACTTTACTTTGGTTCTAAGGCATAAATTCAAAGATGGCTCCTAACAGTTCTAAACTTTTACATTTATTTTGAGAGATTCAGTCTTCAGATAAGTGCTCATGTATGAACATAAAATTTACTCATTTTAATAATTAACTAACCCTTGATCTAAACAAATATAGTTTTATTATTTTTACAGCAGAATGCATTATTCCACTCATAAAACTGCCTTTATGAATTATTTATCTTTATTTAGTATCTTTATTAAACTCACATTTTGTTTTCTTAATGTGTTTTCACAAAGAATTTGTTTTTGAGAGGCTAAGATTAGCTCTTTATTTATTCTGGTTGAAATGGTGTCACATTTTCTTTTGCTCCCAGTTAATATTTACTTCTTTTTTTCTTTTTTCTTCCTTTTTTTTTGCGTGAAAAAACATTTTTCTAATTTATAGCCTAGTTTGTTTCTGTAAATTTTGTGTGTCGAGTTAAATTGAGTAATTTCTAAATGTTTGGGTGACCTCTGCCTCTGCAATAGTTTCCACTTTTCATGTGATTTTGTCTTGGTATTCTTCATGGCAAAAATCAGAGGAAACTGGCTTACACTGGACTGAACAAGACATATGTGACAATGTCAGACAGGTGAACACAACAGTTTGTTCTCATAAAACCATTCCATGCCTGCTATAAATGCATGAATCCACCACAATGTTATGCAAGACCAATTTTATATCCAACTTTTCCTTTTTTCAAAAAAGAAAACTTGTGAGAGAAGTAGGATAAACCGGTAAATTTGACTGCAAAATTAGAGATGTCACAGTTTGATTAAGCACCCTGGAAATCAGTATTTTGGTTGCCCAACAAATACTTTTTTCAGTCAGGTGGTCCATTCTTGTCCTAGGCATCAGTACTATCTATCACAATTGATTTCTCCTTAACAGTGAGGTCAACTGTAAGGGCATCACAAAATCTAAACCCTCAGTATTTCAACTTTATATTATGCTTTTAGGGGCACTGATGCTGATAGCCTGGATGACCACCAGCTCATTGGGAATGATGGTAGCCCGATATTTGAAAGGAATGGCCAAAGGAACAACCCTATTTGGCAAAGATATCTGGTTTGTGGTAAGAATTCAGAAAAAGTGTATTTGTTATTGTTGTTTCATATTCACAATTAAAATATAGACATGAAGATATACAATTTTTTACACAAACACGTGTTTAATATCATATTGTACCTTTTGTATTTTTAGATCCATGTTACAATGATGAGTCTCACAGTTGCAGAAACCATCATTGCTTTCATCCTCGCTTTCTCACACATTCGGGGTTGGGCTGAGGTCAGTGTAATATTATTAGAATTTGTAGACGTTTATTTTTAAACTCAACTTTTATTCATTTATCGCCTTTCAAATGATGACACGTTTCCAGGTACTTTACTAGTCAACTTAAACCATGCAATACAACCAAACATGAAAGATTACAAGTACAACACCACTTGTAAAACTAACACACAAATAACAATTAATCCATAATAAAATAGCTAAGGAAAAAAGAAACTCTAAATAATGAAGAAACTCAAAATAAAAGCATACTGTAACTACTAATGCACACAGTAAATAACAAGTAAACATCTTCTTCTTCTTTTGGCTTTTCCCTCTCTAGGGGTCTCCACAGCGAGTCATCCTCCTCCATCTCACTCTGTCCTCTGCATCCTCTGTCCTCACTCCAACTACCTCCATGTCCTCTCTAACTGCATCCATATATCTCCTCTTTGGCCTTCCTCTTTGTCTTTTTCTTGGCAGCTGCATTTCTAACATTTTTTTACCAATATACCCACTGTCCCTCCTCTGGACATGTCCAAACCATCTCAGTCTGGCCTCTCTAACTTTATCTCCCAGTTGTTCAACATGTGCTGTACCTCTGATGATCTCATTCCTAATCTTATCCATCCTGGTCACTCCTAAGGAGAACCTCAACATCTTCATTTTTGCCACTTCCAGTTCTTTCTCCTGTCTTGTTGTCCAAGTGTCTCCAGACCATACAACATAGCTAGTCTCAACACTGTCTTGTAAACGTTTCCTTTGACCTTTCTGACACCCTTTTGTCGCAATTCACTCCTGAAACTTTTTCTCCATCCACTCCATCCTGCCTGGACTCTCTTTTTCACTTCTTTACCACAATTCCCATTTTCCTGGACAGTGGACCCCATGTACTTGAAGTCCTGCACCTTTGTGACCTCTGCTCCTTGTAGCCTCACTGTTCCACCAGCCTCCCTCTCATTCACACACAAGTATGATGTCTTACTATGACAGACTTTCATTCCTCTTCTTTCAAGCGCATATTGCCACCTCTCCAAGTTCTCTTCCACCTGTTCCCTGTTCTCACCACTGGTCACAATGTCATCTGCAAACATCATAGTCCATGGGGATTCCTGCCTGACCTCATCTGTTAGTCAGTCCATCATCAGAGCAAACAAGGGGCTCAGAGCTGATCCTTGATGCAATCCCACCTCCACCTTGAAGCTATCTGTCACTCCTACAGAACATCTCACCACTATCCTGCTGTCCTCATACATGTCCTGTACCAGTCTAGCATGTCCTGCTATCCTCATACATGTCCTGTATCAGTCTAGCATGTCCTGCTATCCTCATACATGTCATGTACCAGTCTAGCATGTCCTACTATCCTCATACATGTCCTGTACCAGTCTAGCATGTCCTGCTATCCTCATACATGTCCTGTAGCAGTCTAACATGTCCTGCTATCCTAATACATGTCCTATACCAATCTAACATGACCTGCTATCATCATATATGTCCTGTAGCAGTCTAACATGTCTTGCTATCCTCATACATGTCATGTACCGGTCTAACATACTTCTCTGCCATTCCAGATTTCCTCATGCAATGCCACACCTCCTCCCTCGACACCCTGTCAGATGCTTTTTCTAAATCCACAAAGACACAATGAAGTTCTTTCTGACCCTCTCTGGACTTCTCCATCAACATTCTCAAAGCAAAGATGGCATCTGTGGTGCTCTTTCTTGGCATGAAACCATACTGCTGCTCACAAATAGTCACCACTCGTCTGAGTCTAGCTTCCACAACTCTCTCCCAGCTCTTCATCGTGTGGCTCATCAACTTCATTTCCATGTAGTTGCTACAACTCTGTACGTCACCATTGTTCTTAAAAATGGCCACCAGCACACTTTTTCTCCATTCCCCATGCATTTTATCACCCTCAAATATGACATTGAATATTTGAGTTAAAAACCTCACTGCCATCTCTCCAAGACATTTCCAAACTTCCACTTGTATGTCATCAAGTCCTACTGCCTTCCCCTTCTTCATTCTTTTCAGAGATTCTGGACTTCACCCTCACTAATCTTTCCCACTTCCTGGTCCACATTTTCTATGACCTCTACTCTTTTTTTCTCTTTCATTCTCTTCATTCATTAGCTCTTCAAAGTACTCCTTCCATCTTCCTGTCAAACTCTCCTCACTTGTTAGAACATTACCATTCCTATTGTTAACAAGCCTGACCTGTTGCACATCCTTTCCAGTCTGATCCTTTCCTGTCTCTCCAATCGGTACAAGTCCTTCTCGCCCTCTTTAGTGTCCAGCCTCCCATACAACTTATCATACGCCTTCTGCTTTGCCTTATTCACTTCCCTCTTTGCTCTATGTCCCATCTCCTTATATTCCTCTCTCCTCTCTTCAGTCCTCTCACTGTCATATTTCTTCTTGGCTAATCACTTTCTTTGAATAGCTTCCTGCACTTCACAATTCCACCACCAGGTTTCCTTATCATCCATTCTCTGTCCAGATGGCATACCAAGTACATTCCTACCTGTCTCTCTAATTACTGTTGCTGTATTAGCCCAGTCATTTGGAAGCTCTGTATTACTACCCAGAGCCTTTAACAGCTCCTCTCTCAATTTCTCACAACATTCTTCCTTCTTCAACTTCCACCATTTAGTTTTCTTCTCTTGATTTTATTCTTTTTCTCTTCTTCACAACAACAGTCACTCTACACACAACCATCCAATGCCGTCTAGCCACGCTCTCCCCTGCCACATCCTTACAGTCTCCAATCTCCCCCAGGTTTCCTCTTCTACACAGAATGTGGTTGACCTGCGTATTCCTTCTTCCACTCTTATAGGTCACTCTATGTTCCTCCCTCTTTTGGAAATAAGTGTTGACTACAGCCATTTCCATTCTCTTGGCAAAATCCACCACCATCCGTCCTTCCAGGTTTATTTCCTTGACACCAAACCTGGCCATCACTTCCTCATCCCCTCTGTTTCCTTCACCTACATATCCATTCAGGTATGCTCCGATTACCACTCTCTCCTCCCTGGGAATACTCTCTATCACTTCATACAAATCCTTCCAAAATGTATTTTTCTCCTTCACATCACATCCAACCTGTGGAGCATAACCACTGACGATGTTTAGCATCAGACCTTCTACTTCTACCTTCAGGCACATCACCCTATCTGACACTCTCTTTACCTCTACTACATTCTTTGCCAACTCCTCCTTCAGGACCACCTCTACTCCATTTCTCTTTCTATTCACACCATGGTAAAACAGTTTAAATCCTGCTCCAATGCTGCAAGCCTTGCTGCCCTTCCACTTGGTCTCTTGGACACACAAAACATCTACATTCCTTCTCTGCATCATGTCAGCCAGCTCTCTACCTTTGCCTGTCATTGTCCCCACATTTAGAGTTGCAACCCTCAGTCCTACATTCTTCACTTTCCTCTTCTCCCTCTGTCTCCTAAAACATTTCCCTCCTTGTAGTCTACGACTAACACTAGAACAAATTATGCCGGCACCCTGTTTGTCAACAGCACCGGTGGCGGTCATTGTTAACCCGGGCCTCGACCGATACGGTATGGTTTCGCTTTAATGAAATCACATCATTGTTTTGGCAAAATTGTTTTACGTTCGATGTCCTTCCTGACATAACCCACACCATTTACCCAAGCTTGGGACCGGCACAAGAGATGCACTTGCTTGTGTTCCCTAGTGGCTGGTTTAACATGTTAAGTGTGCACTCGTCAATTGAAAAAAAAAAGTTTAGTTAAAAAACAAATAGAGTCTGGATTTCCACCACTGACTGGATGCTGGTTTAAAAAAATAAATTAAATTAAAACCTCTGACACCAGCTCTGGACCTGACAGTTTTTGTTCTGAGACTGAATATAGGGTCAAGGGAGACAAGACGTTAATCCAAAATGCTGCTGCCAGTTTCTTAACTGGAGTTAGTAGGAGAAATCACATCTCTCCAGTTTTAGCTTCCTTCCAATGGCTCCCTGTCAAGTCCAGAATTCAAACTCTTATTTCTAACCTATCAAGCTCTCAACAACCTAGCTCCATCTTATATTACAGATCTTATTGTTTCATATTTTCCGAACAGGCAGCACGGTGGCGCAACTGGTAGAGCTGCTGCCTCTCAGCGAGCAGGTCCCTGGTTCAATCCCCGGTCCAGGGGCCTTTCTGGTTGGAGTTTGCATGTTCTCTCCGTGCATGCGTGGGTTTTCTCCGGGTGCTCCGGTTTCCTCCCACAGACCAAAAACATGCATGTTAGGCTGATTGGTAACTCTAAATTGTCCCTAGGTGTGAGTGAGATAGTGAATAGTTGTTTGTCTCGTTTGTCTATATGTCCCTGTGATGGACTTGCAACCTGTCCAGGGTGTACCTCGCCCCTCGCACAGTGATTGCTGGACATGGGAACCAGCAACCCCCGTGACCCAAAATGGAATAAGCGGGTAAAGATAATGGATGGATGGATGGATTTTCCGAACAAAGCACTTCGCTCTCAAACTGCAGGCTTACTCGTGGTCCATAGAGTTTCCAAAAGCAGAATGTGAGGAAGATATTTCAGTTATCAGGCTCCTCTCTTGCGAAACCAACTTACAATTTCTGTCCGTAAGACTGACACATTGTCCACTTTTAAAACTGGGCTTGAGACTTTCCTTTTTGATAAATCCTATAGTTAGGGTTGGCTTGTCATGCTGTCTTAAGCTTAGAGTACTAGAGGACAAATGGAACTCATTGCCTTAAATGATTTGCTAAATGTGAATATCTAAAAAAGTTCAATCTGGTCGTCTGGACATTCAAAAAACAAAACTAAGAAAAAAAATGTAGAAATGTTTCGTCTTCCATCTGAAAGACTTCCTCAGTCTGATGGGCTGTATTCAGCTCAGTCATAAATATCACCTTCTCAGAGTGGATCAACCAGTTTTGCTGCTGACAACCAAAACCAGCTGCTCACATGGTCAAGAAGAACCATCAGCCTAGCGATGGATCATTAGCACACTGATGGCTGTT